TATAGATCCAATATGGGACTATTATGGAAATGAGAAAAGTGCGCACTGAAAGAAGACAAAGCTTGCATAATGTTCCACATGATCCCGGGCAAAATAATTGCAGCTAAAGAATGTAATTTGAATGTATGAAGAGTATTCACAGTGGCTAAATTTATCTGGGTGATGCAGACTCCTCTGGGCTGGAGCTGGTTTCCTGATCTGAACTGCCCTCCAGAAGAGTCTGTTGGTGTCCCTTGGTTGTGAAAGTTCCCCCATGGGGCTTAGTGGCCATAGGCTAATATGGCCTTTGGGAATAGTCCCCATGGTAACCTGAGACTAGCTTGTATTAGTATTTCAATGGTGCTGTTTCCTGACTTTTAAGCACTTCCTCACATAGCTTGACTGTCCTGACTCAGTACTTAGCGCTTCTGCAAGGACTAAGAACTCTTCTGGAAGGAACGAGATTGGAATGCAACTTTTCAACAAAATTAAAATATTTTTCTAATTTTCCTTTTTACTTTGTAGTAAAAATTGCTGTCATATGTGTCTTACACTTCTAATATTCCCATAGAGGTGTTCACAAAAGACATTCCAAATAACTCAGTGGAAGTAAACTCATGCAGCAAATGTCCTTAGTTCTGGATCTTGAAATGCAGATAATCAATTTGTCAGAACTATGCACTTGTTTTCCATACTGTTCAGGACAGAGGACAAGCTTCTACTTGAATTACTTGAAAATCACATGCTTAAATCCTCTTCTATGACATCTTAAATTAATTTTTGTGTTTCTGATTATATAACACACTCCGAAATGTGTATCTATTTGGTATCTATTCACTTTTACCTACAAAATAGTGCATTTTAATTATTTATATTCCTGCAAGTCCTGAAGATGTAAGAGACCTGGGAAGAGTAGTTGGGTTCTTATTTTCTTGTTCATCAGTGTACCTATTAGTGGCTTCCATTGCAGAACCACCCTTACGCCATATGGTGCTGCATGTAATATTTGGTTCCTAAATTTCTCTTATGGGAAAGGCTGAAAAAAATGTTGGTGTTTTTTTTTGGTTTTTTTTTTTTTTTTTTTTTAAATCTGGAGCTTGACTGAAATGAATATATTTGTGTGTATTCTTAGGTTCAACTCTTTGCAACTGCTGGTGGATCACAGGTTCTTGCTATCATTCACCATTTCCTGCCAATATCTCTTAATTTAAGAGTTAGTTCAGCATTAAGAGCTTTAACTTACAAGTTAAAGCTCTTTTTTATTTCTGAAAAAGCCATTATCCTTGATAGTCAGAGCACTCATCCTGCTCCTTAGAGTGCTTCTGTGCATACTTTTCCCACTTGCCTCTCACTCCATCTTTACCCTGTGGCTGTGAAGCTGCATGAACTGATAAGGCAAACTGCACCCATAGGTTACTTAAATTCCCTGTGAGCATACCCAGCATCATGCAGAGCTCTGTCTTTCTCCAGGGGAAGATGAAGTCTGAGCACTGCTTACTTCTGGTGTGGAGGAAGGAAAATTTATGAAAAATGTTCTTCCCCAGTTCTGAAGGTGTGTCTCCCAGATATGGGGAAGTTTCTCTGACTAGGAGTTCCCCTCATCGTGCTGTCCTGGATAATGCCTGTGCACCAGGTTTGTATGTGTGAGGTGAGAGCAGAAACACAGAGGAGGCACAAACTCTAGTACAGTCACTAAGGGCAGCCTAGGACTTATTTTTAGTGCCTTACATTTAGGTTGCTGCATCACATTTTTGATTATGTGTTTGTGGTGCCTACAGTTAGGCATTCCTTGTGGCTTAAATACTCCAAAAAATTAGTAAAGAAATAAATGGTATGTAGTATTTGAAAACCAGTGTAATTCCGTGCACGTCTAGAAGGGAGGAAAGTAACTATTGATGGAATTTTTAAACCAAACTAAATTTATGCAGTGTCCTTATACACTTGTTTTCCTGAAGACATCTTGTCCAAGCCCACATGTCCAAGTAAGTTTCATCAATAGTGTGGTGCCAGGTTGGCGTTGTTCAAATCAGTTGTTGTTTTGGGATTGAACTTCACAAGTAGCAAGAGGATTTTCCAAAATTAAATGATAGTCCTTGGAAAAAAATGAGATACCTGATGACATTATTTGAAAAATCTTTCAGGGATGGAAATGAAACATTTCCATCAATGTCAAAAAACTTGAAGTGATTAAAAGGGCTATGTTTCTTTCTCAAAAAGAATTTAAGACATATTAAAAGACTTCAGTAACCCATGATTGAACATTGCAGGTACATACTGAGAACAGGCCTGTTTTTTTCCCAGTTTTCTACTCATTCATTTGAGCACTCTTACAACGATGCCTGCATTTTCCCCCAAAGGTGGCTGCTTTTCACATCTTCTAACCTTCATAAATTCTTAATGTTTTACTATACTTTTTGTGGTGGAAATGTTATTGGTTAGATAATAAGAAAAAACCTCAGTTCTACCATGTAATGTGCATTTTTTGCACCTTATGAGAATATTGAATAGACTTCATTATTTTTTTCAATACAAGTCTGAATTCTACCATTTGATTACCTGAACCAAAAGCATTTCAATTTGCCATCCATCACCCTGACCAGTGTAAAATGCTGAATATTCAGATTAAATTGGAACTTTTTTTCTATGAATAAGGAATTTGATTCAATTCTATAATATACAGTGTCTCTGGGGAGAGGAAATTGAGCTGAAGGTCGCTGAAGGCAAGTGAGAAAATTGTATTATCCAAATACAAAATTCTTTTTCTTATCATCAAAACCTGAAATACAGCCATGGGGAATAAGGGGGTCAGGAGAGAATTCAATTAGAGATGAAAATGGAAAAGGTGCATTTTTCAACTCACCTTTCATTTTTCCAAACAAGTGGCAGCAAGTGAGCTATACAGGGACAATGAAATATTTGTCAAGCTTTTTTTTTTTAAAAAACAAACTTCTAAAAAACTTTTTTTAAAAGTATAAATCAGAAAACATTGTCAATCAGAGACAGTTACATTCTCTCAAAAGAGTGATTAAAAGTCCATATGAATGTGGAATGGCCAATTTTTTATAGCCTTAACCATTGCAGTTTTAGCTTGTTCATCAGTGGTGGGGAGAGGTAATGAATATATAATTATGAAAATTTGTATGGATAGAATTCTCTTGTTTAGAAAGACTTCTCAAATGTTTGTAATCAGTTCTCTCTCTAAGACAGTTTGTGATAACAATTTCTGCCCTTTTCCCTCCTTAACTCCTAATTTTAAATGATAAATGTTCAAAATCATTGTGAAAGTGTGATGGTGTTATGCCATAATGATGCATAATTTTCTCTTTATTTTGAAGTTTCTCTTTATTTGTTTTAGTGCAGATAGCAAGCAATTATGAAATAAGCCAGATCTTGCCCAATGTGGGCACCTGTGAAACACTAACAATTACAGATACAGGCAGTGATTTAGCCAAGAGCTGCTGCGCTTGCTCAGTTCTCAGCTGCACAACTGGATCACTGCACTGTGTCTGGCCTTTGAGCTAATGCTGAAGATAATGGTAGAGGAAAGGAGATTTCCAGTGAGATCCTGGAATGCTAATTTATCAACTTCATAAGCTCACTCTGTAAATTACAGTGTGATTTGTAAAATCAGCTTGTGATATCTCAGTAGTTCTTATTCTATGTCTGTACTTGTTGGTTTAATTTGCAGTCATTTCCTAAATATTTATTCTTTCCAAGAAAAAGTCACTATAATATTTAAAGAAACCTTTATGTATTTGGTAAGGGATTATTTTTAATAATTTATCATTACATATCCATTTATGGTCTTTCTAGTTAGAATAGATGGTGTCATATATAGCCAAACATTTAAATATATTTTAATTCTAAGGAGCCTTTCATTCATATTACAACTGCCAGTTCTGAGCTTGGATTTTCTCCAGTGTTGGCTAAAACTTAGTGAAGTTTTTATCATATTCTATAAAAAGTAATTTGAAAGTATTGTTAATCTTGAAGACAAACGCAGTCACCTCTGAGAAGTGACCTGGAAAGAAAATCTGCAAACTTGGTGTAATAATTAAAATCTGGTAATTGCCTTTTTGGTGTATTTGTAATACTGTATAATTATTAAGTTGTGAATGTCCTATCTCTGGAAGTGTTCAAGGCCAGCTTGGATGGAGCTCTGAGTAACCTGGTCTAGTAAAGGGTGTCCCTGCTCATGGTAGGGGGATTGGAACAAGGTGGTCTCTCAGGTCCCTTTCAACCCAAGCCATTCTATGAGTCTATGATTAAAAGCATACTATATTGACTATGAAGCTATTCTGCTCTTCAACAAAATAGTTGTCTTTTAAAAATCTGAACTTAGCGAGCCCAGCCTTGGTTCTTTAGTGGTGCAAGGTTCTTTAGTATGTGCAGATGCAAAATGAAGCCTTTTACCTCTTTGTGAGTACCTCCAGTTGGTATTGTTTGGAAGTGGAAACAACGCATTACCCACCACATCTCAGAACACATGACAGAGTTCAGAGAGATGAATTGTTTTCTCACAGATTCAAAGGTCTTTAAAACAAATGTCCATTCTCTGGACATTCTCTAAATTATCCTTTTCTTGTTCATGGGAAAGAAATTTCAATCTTTGTTTTTTTTTAAATGTAAACCAAAATTATGTTTCAATTTTTTTTTGCCCTGTTTACTATAAAACATAATGGGCTATGTTATAGACACAGAAATGAGCTGGAGTGAGAATTCATTTTCTGTACATTTTTAAAAATATTTTGTTATGAGCCGGTCTGCATTTTAAAGTGCCAGAACACCTCTATAAGCCTAGTGCCTAATAGATTCACTGGCTTTCAGTGGAAGTGAAAGGGCTCTTCTGTTCAGATTGGATTGCAAGATTGGGGTCTTTGTAAAATAAAATGCCTGCTAGATAGATCAGGACTGTCTGCATGTTACTTATATAATGCAATATGAATAATTTTTTTTTAAGTGACAGAGAGTTTTATATTTTATATCTAATGAAATAAAGCTTACTCTAATTTTCATTTCAGCCTGTCACAGGAACAAGAATTTCATCTACAGTTGCTGAATTTTTCAAAGTGAAGGAAAAAGGACATTACATAGGTAAGATTATTCAGTCTGGTTCTGTTTGAATCTACTGAATTCCTTCTGTTTGACAAAATGTAAAATTAATGTTTTTGGAATCTGGGGACTTCAGTAACCTAAGAAAATTAAAAAATAAAGGGAGTTTTATTGAATTGAAATAGGTTGTTAGAAGAAAATCAGCCTCTGGTAAAGGGAAGGGAAGAAAATGATAAAGAGAAATCACATTGACAGAAACCTCAAACATTATGGAAAACAAGTAGGTCAAAAGAGTTGTTCAAAACAATATACCTTTGGAGTATATATTATCAGAAGCACCACTAATTCTTTAGGCAGAAAGACACCTGAGATCAAACAAATGCTAATTTGTATCTAACCATTAAACAGTTACTTGAGTGATGGGAACAAAAGAATATATATAGTGCAGAAAATGAAACCAAGATTATTCAAATGAAAAGGTATTATACCAAAATAATAGAAAAGGTGCACTTGATTTTTCAAAATAAATTAAAACCTCAGTGTTTGGGCATCAAGTTCTGTTGGATAGATCTTCTGTAGAAATTTGATTATTAAATCCTAAGGTATGGGAATGGGAACTAAAACCAATGTCAACCCCCTGGACTGTAGGGAGGAGCTTCCTTTTTAAACTGACTTTTATGGTCTGCTGGAGAATGCAGTGAAATAGAAGTTATGCAGTAAAGTGGCATTCAGGTAGAAGCAAGATGTATCAGCAAACCTCCACTTCCCCTCAGAAGTATCACTTTAAAAACAGATGGGTTGGAAGATGTGGGCAACAAAGAAGGAAAAGGGTTTCATGAAGGCTCTAAGCATGATATGTGAGATGTTTTAAGATAAATGCTGGAGATCTTCAGCTCAGGTTACCTCAGTGAGAGTTGAGGCTGGGTGCCAACTTGTACTTGCAAGGCCAAACCAATGATGTAAAAGGCCACATGTATTTTTTGTTTCCTTAATGAAGATAGATAATTCAAATGGGAAAACGCTGCTTGAAACTGCAGCCTAATGGCTGTTCTGTAGTACAGTGAAGGAGCTGTGTTGACTAGGCAAGAGATTGACCTACTTAATCAAATACCTTTGGGAAGAATTTTTAAGTATCAAAACCCTTTTCCACACAGTGTTATGGTTGTGATATTAGGCATTCAATAGACAGCAGCTCCCATTGGGTAGGGTGGTAAGCTCAGCTCAGCCCTACTGTTTTTCACCATGTGGAAAAGGTTACACAGATGGAGCAGGAGACAAGTGCTTTGCTAGACCAACATGAATGAATGGAACTGCCTGTCCCCATGGTTCTGAGCATCATTAGAGACAAGTTGCTTGTTCAATTGGTTTTGAACATTCTGCATCATGGACTACAGCCCAGGGGATGAGCCAGGCTCCTTAGAGCTTCTCCAACTCTAGTCTTTGTCCCGTGAGACTATTTTGCTCCTGGAGAAGGGAGAGAATGGAGGGATAAAAGTACAAAAAGAAGTCACTTTCCCTCATGACTTCTGCTGGACTCCCATCAAATAAGCATCAATACTTAAGAGGACAGGACTACCTTTCTAATGCAGTTCTTTAATTTGCTTTTGGTTTATCTGTGGTGAATTTAGATAAGCCAGATATTTAGAAAAGTTCACAAAGAGTAAAAGAGATATTTTGGAGAAGGACACTTGGAACTCACTTGAGTAGGTGAAATTTTTTTATGACTGCTGGAACATGTGATACAAATCTGTTTTTCCTCTGAAGATTTCAACTTTAGCAGCTTACGGATACTGTTGGATATGCTGGCCAAAAGAACCATTCCAGCTCCCCTTCATATTGCTGGAAGAGTCATCTTTAAGGGTCTTAGCCAGCAGTATGAAGTTGTAAACTCCTTGGGTATAAAGGAATTTCTTAGCCACAAGTCAACACCACAATTTCTGAACAGTTGAGTTCAGTGCAAATGGTGTAGAGCATTACAGAATACCTGGTGAAAAAAGAGCCTGCCCAGGTGATTGTGATGTGATTGTACTCTGGTAAGAGAAATGCATCAGTTATCTCAGTATATTTTGGATCAGAGTCTAAATAAGAAGTGGAATACCTTGAGATACCAATGATTTTAGCAATACTTAATGTTTTGACCAGCAGGATATTGCTTTACCAAGACAGAGGAGGGGCATAGTAGAAGATAATTTTACTCAGTAAAATATAAGTGGAATAAAGGCAGGCAGAAGCTGCCAGAATTGGAAAGCCATACTTCATAGACTTGTTTCATCTATTTAACAGAAATTTGCACAGTGGCAATCCCCTTCCTGTTTCTCCATTTTTATAACTTTATAATACCAGGGAAATATATTAACGTGAATATGACTGTGTTTCTTTTATTTATATAAGAATAAACCTCTTTTCTTTCAGCTGCAGACTCGTTATTGCAACAGTAAACAAGAAAAGAGGGATCAATTTTAAACTGATAAACAGTGAACATTTTCACTGGGTAGAATAAGTTATGTTGAGATTACATGCTGAGAGCAGATCAGGAGAAAGTCAGCACTTGTGTTTATTGAGTTTTTCTAATGAAAAGTAAACTCACAAAGCCTTGTTTATTAGGTTTTTTTTTAAGAACAACAAATTGGGTCCTGTGGTATGCACATATACATATTGACAGTTAAATATGAACTTGTTCTCCCCCATGCATGAATATGTAAACATGTACTAATCATTTTACATACAGAAACAGCTGAAAAGCCCAGAGAGTCTGTCTCCAGCAGAGCTTTTCCTGTTTACTTTGTTGTCTGTTGGATCATGGGCTTATTAAAATACAACTATAATTTGGTAAAGCTCTCAAGTAGAATTTGTCCAAGAGGTTGCTTTGCAAAAATGCACAGTCTAATGATTAGTTAGAATCATATAATTGGGTTACATGATTGTATTGCAGAACAGTCTGTTTTAGAAAAGATACCAGATCAGTAGATACAAAATTTCAACACTAAATTATTTCTTTTGATACCCAGCTCTTACAAAAAGAGAAGAATAATCCTTTTTTTTCTTTTCTGCTTTACAAGCAAATAAGAACCAAAGCAGAATTCTCTTTAGGCCATACCTTTTATTTACCACAGTCTGATTGCCAAAGACAGAATTCAGCTGAGAATAATACATATGCATGATGATGGACTTGTCATCCTAGCCTAGTGGGAAGGGAGGTTTTGAATGGGGAAAGTGAAAGGGTAAAATTAAGCACCAGCTGAAAATTCTTTGAATTTTGAACACCAGGTGATGCTGTATAGGATAAGGCTTTGAAAGCATCCTCTTTGGACATGAGAAGTGGGAAAAACTAGAAAACCTAAAGTAGATCAAACCTATACTGGTGGGTCCATAGCCAAGAACAAAAGCTTGTACTTTTGGGCAAGGTACTGATAGATGTAGAAGGCAGAACCTTATTAAGCTTTGGAAAACTCTTTCTTGTATTCTCTAATGACCATGCTGCTGTCTGATGAAGAAAGAACATGAAAATTATATTGCTAGAGATGTGTGCAGGGACTGCTCAATGGTAACTCAGTGCAGTTCATCAAGTAAAGCCTCCGTTCTTGCCATTCCCAAAGGCTGAAACACAGTTACTTGAATGGGCTTTTATATAAACAGAACATAAAACACCCATCAGCATGTATGCTACTGATACAATTTTAAGTGTTTTGCTTAAAAATACATAACTGTGAATATTGAACTCCTTAGACAACTCCTCTGAGGATGAATAAGGAAACTTCAAATTAATCTCTTCTAAATAACTTGAGAGGTAAAGGATCTGTGTATGTTACCTCTACCTGTTCCTCTTTCTGTAGAAACAAGATGAAATACTTGTAACCATATTGAAGAAGTGAAGCACTAGAGTCTCTAAAGGCCTCACAGGTGAATTTTATTTCGAAAGAGTATGAGAAAATTCTTCTCCATTTTCCAGGAGTCTTCACTTAACACTTGGAGACTTGTATTAACCTCACTTTCGATCTTGATCTCAGTTGCAAGACAGCTCTTCCAAATCCTGAAGCAAAGAAAAACAGTGAGTCTCCCATTACTGCTACAGCTAGAGGACCCTTTTTGTTCCCTTGCATTGTAGATGCTGGTGTATGTGCTTATCCTCTCTTTCAGGAAATGGGAATGATGTGAATGTGCTAAAGGGAAAGGATTTTCTTGCTTCTTCTCCTCTTTGGCACCTGCACATGCCAGAGGCTGTGCACATACTGTATCTGCCATGCTGCAGTGCCTCTAGGTCACATTTGTCGAGTACATTATGTCGTCAGCACTACAAAATTCCTGAAAATTTACTGGGGATATTGGATTTGCTTTTTCTGAAGTGAAGCTTATAAACTGCATCACTAGCTATTAGGAGAAGACATGCAGTATATTTGTAGCTGTAAGTTAAGAAAAATCTGTATATATCTATGTTTTTCTATCCACTGAAGGAAGAATCACCTCTCTTCCTTATCAAATCTGATGCATCAGATAAATACCTCTCTTTCCTCTTAAATGATAATGACATAGTACAAATACTCTCCTATCATATAAAAAGACATATGCCTGCCTCTCTTTTTCCTTGTAATGTTTCATCACCTGTAGTGATTTCAAAATCACAAGATAAATTTTGTATTATTTTTGATGGGTTAGGCAGCATTAAAATGAGCAATTCCAATCTAGTGCTTTAATTATTTTCTCTTTTAATAGAAATTTCAGCCTTGAGCTACTTGTGAGGCTGTAATGTGTGTATCTTCATTACTGACTGACTGTTCTGTTGGGTTTTGATACTCTTTTCAAGGTAGTTGAAACAGCAATGTATTTATGGCAAATCAGGTCAATGATATGTTGGAGACACATAAAACTGTCTTAAAAAACATTAATACATGACTTCTTTCCCAGTAACTAGTGGTATGTATATATTTCTTACAGTAGAATATTCCTTGCTCTGAATGTCTAAATAAAACCTATGACTGTGCAGAGGAGCAATTTTTGAATGCTGCATCGGTCCGGACTATTTATTCTTTAAAAGTGTAATACTGTCTTGGTGGTCTACTGAAAAAGCATTTTCCTTTCCTTTTGCACTATTTCATAATATAGCTATAAAAGGGAGTATTACAATATTCTTGCAATGTAACTGTTCCCTGTAATTCAGTGCATATGAAATGCAGTCTGAAAAGATAGCATGAAACAAGAAGTCCATTTTCCATGTGGCAAAACTTACTGTCACTGTGGGTTTAGTTGTTGAATTTTGCATAGAAGTGTTGTTATGAGCATCTGTCTCACAAGCAAAGAAGAAAGTTTTGTTATTCCTAGGCCTTGTACAAGTGAATGCAATATTTAGCAAAGGTAATTTTATATTTGTATGAACAGAAAACTTTTTCATGACCACTTGATTCATATAAAACAAAGATGTGCATTATTCCATCTCAGCACTATCTGGTCTTAGTATGAGGCCCTGGGAGGTATGTAAGAGAGAAAAGGGGGAAAAATTATAAACTGCATGTCTATGTGTCCAGAAGTTATTGCAAATCTAACACCCCTAACACCCCCTAATATCATGTAATTATATTAGTATATATTGATTTTTGTGATAGAGAGAATGCCAGAGGAATAGTACATGGAAAATGAAGAAAAAACAAGACAAAAAAATAACACATTTAAAAGCAACCTTGCTTTTATAGAGTGATAGAGGGAGGAGAAAAATTAAAGATGCCAAAGTCTTTACCCTTAAATGTGGTAGAAATTGACTATCTTTTCTTTCTCACACATACATTGCACATAGCAAATACCATACCAAACCTCCTTTTCCCCTCTTTTGAACTCCAAACAGGGTTTTACACTGATAGACTCAAGGTCTTTGTTGAAGGTAAGAGGCAGAGAAGCCCTAAAAAGCCCTAACACTAGTGGGCTGTAATGCAAGAACACAGCTCTGTTGGTATCTTGTTTTCCTGTGGATTGCATTTACTGAAGAAGGAGGCAGGATACACATGATTGGTGTTTGAAATGCAAACCTGGCTCACATTGGATTCCTACAAGGGTCTGAAAGATTTGGGGATTTTGGGTAGCATGTGTATACCCGTGCTTCTACAAACACATCCAGAATGGATCCACCTATGTTATCCACACTGGTTTTTACCAAGACCCTCAGTTGAAACCCAGTTCATAAATGTTGCCTGTTGGTAAAAGAAACACTACTCTGGAGCTGATAGCCACTGATTCAGCAAAAGCAGTTCACTGCTTGTTTCAAAATAAGAAATTTCCAGAACTATGTACCTCTGCCTGTAATGCAGCTGATTTCTCTACCACTGACATCACTTACTGTCTTTTTTTGATTTTGCTTATTATCCTCTACAGGGTCTGACTGTAGTCCTGTATTTGGTCAAACTTTTACATTTTATACCCTATTTACCTTCTTCTTCTTATATGAACAATGATCTGTTTGGTTTGGGTCCCCAAGGGCTGTGGCTAATGCTGCTTATGTTTCATTCAGTCAGTCTTCCTCCCTTGCTGGAAACACTTTTCTCTTCATGCTCATAGAAATGCACATATATTTAATAAATAGTCAAGTGCAATTAATTCTGAGTCATATATGGGGCTTCATTTCTCCAGTTATCTTTTTGTTTAGAAATATCTTCAACAGGGATTATTTAATACTTTGTTTTTTTCATATTTTTCCTCTCAGTCTTATACCCTCAATTTCCTCTTTCAGATGCTCATTTAAACTTTAAAAATATGGGGTAACATGCAGGAGGTGACCAGGTAACAATACATTTCTATGGCACAACTCTGCATACCTAGTAGTCTTCATAGTTAATTCCAGTTAATATATTTTCTGTTGGAAGTCATACCCAGGTGATACTTTAATGAAAGGAATTCTCTTGCAACAGCTGTAAACAAATAAACAAAAGGTCCCAATAATAAATCATTGAGATGATCTTACATGTTAGCTAAATGTTTATCTTTTTCCCCCACTTAGACTGTCATGAAGGAGAGAAATAAGAACATGATAGATTGTAAAAAATTGCAGAGGACAACATGTACAAGCAGTTTAGTTATGTTTTTCTACAGCCCTTCTTTCTGCTGCACTTCTAGGCAAGTAGTTCGATCTCAAGCAGAGAAAAAAGTAATTTTGTCAGCTCCTGTGGACCAAATTCCAGCCTCAAGCCAACTTGTGCCTCTTTGAGCTGGGGTTCATGTGGTCTGAATCAAGGATGGCAGAAGCAGCAGCCTCCTCTTCCTGTTTCTGGGCAAAAGATGAATGGATGTGGTACCGGATGAAAGGCAATACTGAATCTAATGGAATTAGTTTATGGGGAAAGCCCCACCCAAAAGAATTTTATTTGTCTCCCAGCTATAAATGAAATTCATTTGTTTTGCACTTCCTGACAGATTTAAATGTGTCAAAACATTAGGGTCATGAAGGTGGGTGGTTTGTATTGGCAACTGTGGTTTTTTGTGGCACACTGGTTTAAATCAGCAGATTTCAAACAGATTTTGTCTTGAAGTTTAGGACAGAATTGAGCTCAATTTTCATGAAGAGAGTTGTGGTGTGTGAACAGATTTATATGGTTGGTCAGTAGCTGGAAGCAAGGCCATTAATGTTTGAATGTCTCTGGATGTTATCTGGGAAACTGAAAAAGCAATTAAGTATTTAGAGAGATATTTAAGGGACAAAAATTAAACCAAATACAAAATTAAGGCTTAGGAAATTTAGTGATACAAGGCAAGAAGACTGACGAATTGTTTGAGGAGAAAGCTGCAGTAGAGTGGGAAAATACTGTTTAGAGAACTTGAGAATTAAACTGAATAAAGTTGAGATCAGCCAGACAACTCCAAGCCCTTCATCTTTAAAGCAGTTATAGGTTAAGGGTGCAAGTGCTAGGCATTTTTCCTGTATCAACAAGAGATTCAATCATTTAAATTTGGCAGAGGTAAAGATGTGCTAATTAAATGCATGCCTTGCATCAGCTGAAGATTATGAGCTTGATCTTAAAGCTCTTTGTAATTTTTCTGATGAGAATCTTACCTTCTCTTGCAAACGCCAGATGCCAGAATGATGGTGCTTCCTAGGGATAACATTAGGACATTTAAATAAATTATCTGTGAAAATTGTAACATAATGTATAAGGACAAGAAGTAAAACTGGATATATTGTTGGTATTTGCATATCAAATGCAAACTGGACATTTGGTATCACATGGGATTTCTAGCATATAGATAAACTACAAGATGAAAGAGAAACACAAGGCTGCTGGTTGAGTTGGATTCACCTATTCATAAGTTATGTTTATGTAATGGCTAGTGGCAAGGAACTAATATATATTTATTTTGCTTGTTTGTGTTTGAGTGTGCATGTAGTTACAGCTTGTTTTGTTGACAAATACTAAAAGCTGTGGTACTTTACCTCTGAGTTTTAGGTTCCAATAAGGTGCAAAAACTAGATCTTTAAGGGGAACTTAAAATACAGTTTTTCTCCGGGGATATTAATAATCTAGATTTATGATGTATATAATTTATAGAAGTACATATGTATGAAATGCTTCAATTACACTGCTCATAGAAATTTCTAATTATAGCATACAATGAGTACCTAAATTTTTGAATGCTATGCTCCGATTTTTTATACTGAAAACATTTTGTTTAAGGAAAACTTCTCTTATACTAAAACTGATGAACTCATTGTAGCAACTTTACTTAGTCTCCATAACATTTATAAATGCATTTACACTATGAGTCTTTTTTATATTGGGATGTTATGGTACATATATTCAGCTATCTAGGTCAAATAATATTAGTTATTTATATTTAATAGGTTTAAAAAGAGTTTGAGCATTTGGTGTGTGTACATTTTTCCTGAGGTAACAAGCTGAATGGCAGTGCAGATACCAGGTGGGTCTACTGGTTGTCATGGCACTCGGTGCAAAGGAGCAGAGCTATCTCAGCCCCATGCTGAGGGAATTAAAAATGAAAATGAGAAAGATTAGGTAATGTAATGTTGGTTTTTCTTGTAATTTCTGCTTCCTCTGAGAAAAACAAATGCAATAATTTTAATGAGAAAAAAATATCTCTCAGATACTCTCAGTATTTAGAGATGTCAGCATTTTGTGTGACAGTTTATTTCTAGCTTGACCGTATTTCTGTTTATAAACCATCACTAGAGGTTTATATTGGAAGGAGATGATGCTCCAGATGATATATGCACACTGCCTATAGTGATACTCTAGAAACTAGCCAGATTTAACTCAGATATGTAAATAAGATTACTTCTATACTCTGTGGTGTTTTACTCTCAGTCTGTCTGCCCCCTTCTGTGACTTCCCTCACGCCAGCACAACCACCCAAAGCATCTCCAGAAGCTGCTCCCACGCTGTAGCTGGTGCTGTGTGACATGTGTAGTATGTGGGGGGCTCCAGCCCCCTCACCTTCCTGCTGCTGCTCAGCCCTGGGTGCAGCTCAAACCAGACACTGCACTCTGCATGCACACTGTTGTTTTCTTGCCCCTTATTTATGAAGTGCACTTAAAGGAGCCTCAAATTATATTCACTAATTTTTAGTAATCCCTCAAGAGACACACACGGGTATCATGAAGGGAAGAAGACTTTTGGGCTCAGTCTCCAGTGGAGTGGGGTGTGGAAGTGTGGAGAGCTAGCTGTTTGCTGATCATGTGTCCTGTGGAAGCTTTGGTCAGCATGAAAGCCTTTTTTTTTTAATCAGCTGGGGACCAGTTGCCAAAGAGTAGGTATAACCTAAGCATAGATGCCATGCTGAAGGCTCCCAGATAGAAATCAGGTGCCAGTCCAGAGGGCCTTCAACTTCCACAAATTGTCTATTTTGTCTGCTGGCTCGGGTCTCATTTTTTGGATATCTGCTGTCCAAAACACCAGTTCTCCCATACATGTAGGGATTGCTGTCTTGATGTCACGTCATAGAACAAATAGAGAATAAGTGGGCTAAACTGGGTGTGGTCAAACTTTTAAAGATCTTCATATGGCTGAGAGTCACCTGCTCCTTTCCTTCTCTGTGCCCGGTACCTCATCCCCAGAGAGTACCATCCTGGTCACTGTACTCCAGATATTTAGCAGTCTGTGGACAATGGATTAGGGCCAAAGAATATGGAAACAGTAATCTTGGTGGTTTGTCCACACTACTCTCATAGTCTCAATCTGCTCTGCAGTACAAGAGAATAAAAATGTTAAGTGTTAACAAGTGTTCAGCTCATCTTGAAATTACCAGCAGCATGATCCTACAGGATTTCCTTTTCCCCAGGTACATTTGCAAATTTGTATTTACATTTACTGGTTGTGAAAAGTGGTCCTTAGAACAGTTAGCATCATAGGGGAAACAGAATAAGCAGAGAGCATTCTATCCAGGATGCTGCCAGGCCAGGCTGCAGAAGGATGACAATCTATATTCATTAAAGATATTTAATAATTTTCTAAAAAAAGAAATGTAAAAAATAAGTCAGGAAATATGAATGTTATTATTGATCAAGCTTTTGAAGAGGAATTTTTCTCAATAAAAGAAACCATATTTTCTACT